AAACACTTGAAGTTGTCTCTGTTTTTGTAGTTAGGGCCTGACTGATCTACCTCCAACACACATGCACATGGCCTCCCCATCACTGGGGACCTCACCTTCAATTCTCTGACAGGGAGAGTACTCTGGCCTGCCACTGATGGCTTGTCCCTCCATCCCTGGTCACTGAGAACACAAGCATCTTTCAGCTGACATCTCCTTTTCCTGACAATGGTCATCTGGGATGGAACCTAAGATGAATCAACTTCCATGTCCTAGATCTGTTCCTCAGGAAAAACACAACCCAGAATATATTAGGCCACTCTTACATTGCTATAAAGAAATGCCTGAGATTGGGTAATTTATAGAGAAAAGAGGTTTAATTGGCTCACGGTTCTGCAGGCTCTGGCATCATCTTCTGGAGAGGCCTCAAGAAGCTTACAGTCATGGTGGAAAGTGAAACAGGAGCAGGCACATCATATGGCCAGATCAGGAGCGAGAGAGAGAGATAGAGAGAAAGATAGAAATAGAGAGGGAAGAGGAGGAGGGGGAGGGAGGGAGAGACAGAGAGAGGCGGGGGAGGTACCACACACTTTTAAATGAACAGATCTCGTGAGAACCACTCACTACCCTGAAGACAACACCATGAGGGAAGCCATAAGGAATCCACCCCCATGATCCAATCACCTCCCATCAGGCCCTAACTTCAGGCTGAAGATTACTATTCTACATGAGATTTGGAGGTGAGGGGAACAAATATCCAAACTATATCCTAGAAATTGCCAGTAGCAGTTCAATTACTTCCTATTTTAGCCTGGGTTCCCCCCAAAGCAGACTCTAAGACAAAGCCTATTATATAAGCACTTACTTTGACAATGTGATCCCAAGGAAGGGAACAAGGGATGGGAATGGAACATGGATGCTCTATTCATTTCCTTTTACTGCTGCATCATATTTCTACAAATTTAGTGGCTTACCACAACACAAATTTATTATCTCATGCTTCTGAAGGTCAGAGAACTAAAATGGATCGTATGGGCTAAAATCAAGGTGTCTCTAGGGCTGGTTTCTTCTAGAAGCTCTGAAAGTAGAATCCATTCCCTTGCTTTTTTCAGATTTTCAAGGTTGCCAGTGTTCCCTGGCCTGTGACACCTTTCTCATGTTCCTCCAGCACCTTGCTTCTGTCATCACATCTTCTACTGCCTCTAACTCTACTGCTTCCATCTTACGTGGGCCCTTGTGAAAACGCTGGGCCAGTTGCATATCCCAGATACTCTACTGATCTCAAAATCCTTAAATTAATCACATCTGAAAAGGCCCTGTTGCCACATAAGATACACATGTACAGATTTCTGAGAGTAGGACATGGCCACCTTTGAGGTATCATTATTCAGCTCACCATACATGCATTGGCCACTGCTATAGGCAATTCATTCCTGCAGAACATGCTGAGGAATCATATGAAATGCATCACTGCACCATCCACCTAGGGGAAAAGAGGGAGGCAACATTATCTGGCGGCACCCATCCCCTATTGATCAAGGTTGCCCCCAGGGTGTTAACTCCTCCATGAATCCAGGAGCCATGTGCATGAGTGCTGACTGGGGTCCTGGGGTAGACCATGATGCTGCCTCAGAGAAGCCCCCAAACCAGAGGCACGAGGTTCAAAGTAAGGTACAATCAATATTCACCTCCCAAATTTGGTTAAAGGTGAAACTGTATGGAACTGGACACTGTAGCAGTAGCTGGAGAAAGAGGCGAAGCATAAAGAATAGGCAGAGATTCTACAGTGTTTAGTTTTCTGTTCTCGTGTCAGTTTGCTGAGAGTGATGCTTTTCAGCTTCATGGATGATCCTGCAAAGGACATGAACTCACCCTTTTTTTTTAATGGCTGTATAGCGTTCCACGGTGTATATGTGCCACATTTTCTTTATCCAATCTACCACTGATGGGCATTTTCGGTTGGTTCCAAGTCTTTGCTATTGCGAACAGTGCCGCAAAGTAGGAGTTGAACAATTAGAACACATGGACACAGTGAGAGGAACATCACATACCAGGGCTTGTCTGGGGTTGGGGGTCTAGGGGAGGGATAGCATTAGGAGAAATACCTAATGTACGTGACAGGCTGATGGGTGCAGCAAACCACCATGGCACGTGTATACCTATGTAGCAAATCTGCATGTTCTGCATATGTACTGCAGAACTTAAAGTACAATTTTAAAAAAAAAATTCAAAGAGAAAAAAATAAATGTAGCATCCAAAAATAAAAAAAAAAGAATACTCAGAGATTCATAGTAGGGGTCCAATTCACTTCCCTGCTCTACTCTGAAGCTGCAGGCAACTTCAGCCAGTTTGTATATCTCTCATGACTACCATAGGGAACCATGAATTTCTCAAATACATTGCTGCCCTTTCTCTCTTATTTCCCATCCACAAGATATTGAAACTCTCCCTGCAAGTGAGTTATAATAGGAGTAAAGTAAATTTTTAAAACTCTCAAAAATTAGACAAAAGCACCAAGAAAGGCAACTGGCCGAGTGCGGTGGCTCACACCTGTAATCCCAGCACTTTGGGAGGTCGAGGTGGGTGGATCACGAGGTCGGGAGATGGAGACCATCCTGGCCAACACGGTGAAACTCCGTCAAAATACAAAAAATTAGCCGGGCGCAGTGGTGAGTACCTGTAGTCCCAGCTACTTGGGAGGCTGAGGCAAGAGAATGGCATGAGCCCGGAAGGTGGAGCTTGCAGTGAGCGGAAATCGCACCACTGCAGTCCAGCCTGGGTGACAGAGCAAGACACCGTATCAAAAAAAAAAAAAAAAAAAAAAAAGCAACTAAAGAGGTTATTCTGCCTATAGCTGCAGACAATTATTATTGAGAGTTCAAACTTCTTGGAGAGCAAAGGGAAAGCAGCACCAGGGAAGGAGCAGTTGAGTCCTGACCTGGCATATTTCTCAAATGCAACAAGAGTTACAGAACCAGGAGGGAGAAAATATAAGCTACCTAGGTTATTCATGTTATCAGGACAACCACCCTTTAATGAACAAGCCTCTGGATTTGTTGAAAACCTTAGGACTGAGCTAGTCACTCTTCAACCATTTATCAGGCATGGGAGGAAAGTATCTGTGTGTGGAGACTAGAAGTACAGCAAAGAACAATGACCTCGCTCACAAAAAAAAAAAAAAAAAGAAAAAGAAAAAGGCATGTGAAATAACATGATACTGTCTTGCTTATCAGAGAGGCAAAGACGAAAAGGACATACATACAGTTTGGAGAGGGAATGAAAAAGTGAGTATCCTGACACTTAATTGGTGGGAAAACATAAATTGACAGAAGCTTTTGGAAAGGCAATTGGCCTTAACTATCAAAGTGTGCAGGGTGCAGACTCTGATTCAGAACTCTACTTCTAGGGGAAGGAAATCCTTCTGAAATATGTAAACAAATGAGCAATAGTGTATCAATGCATGTTTATTACAATATTGCCTTGAATAGAAAGAAAAAAAAATAGAAACAATCAAATGTTTCAGGAAAAAAAAGAATGAGTTAGCTCTTTATGTACTGACCTGGAAGAGACTCACAATATGTAAAGAAAAATGACATGTTGCAAAACAGTAGGTGCATTATGATCCAGTTTATATGTTTTAAATATACATTTGTGTGTGAGGGTTTACATATGATATGACTATCACACCAAATCCTTGACATCACAGCCAAAGTTAAGTTCACACAGAGAAAATATAGCACCAGAGCTGCTTTGTTTGTGTGACTTCCTGCTTTGTTTTTATGATAATGAGGAAAAATGGATGATGAGAATGGTATGAATATGAGCTCTGTGTTAATCAAAGTATTGGCAATTGTAAGAAAAGAAAATCCATCCTCTTGAAGAAATGCTGTATATAATCAAATGCTAATATGCCCAGTGACATTTAGGTTTTGTTGCTGTTCTTTTAAGAGTTACTGAAATCCCTATGGGAAGAAAAAAAAATTGCTTCGAAGTTCTAAACTCTCTAGCTCAAACCCCTTTTCTTATTAAAGCAATTTATGATGTAATTTTTAAAAAGCCAGACAAGATTCCCAAAGAATATAATTATTGATATAGAGCAAAAAATTATATTCAGAAAAACCCTAAAAAGCCTAAAAACTGAAGACTTCACAGCACACAGAACATGGATGTTACTTTTTTACAAAACCCACAAAAATGAGATAAGAAGAATAAAATCAAGATATAAACCCATAAGGTCCGAGAGAATGTAAGAGCACACAATAGTGCAAAGAGGCGTCAATACAGTTTCAATAGTGCAAAGAGACATCAATACACTTTTCCTTACTGAAAAGTAGGAAGGAACTGAAAAAGCTGAACACCAAGTGTGGGGATGAGAAGGCAAATATAAAGCAAGTCTCTTGTTTCCATGAAACCCAGAAACACTCAGCCACCGGAGGTACCCGCTACCTCCAAAAGTTGGACAGGGAACTGCAAACAGGAGTGTCTAAAATCCTATAAGAGGGAGTTACACCTCCACATCCTCTTCGCCATCTCATGCATCCAGACAACTACCCTTCCCTGCCCCAGCAAGAGATGAGACATTTATTCTTTGGGGAGAAAAAAACAAGAAAGCAAAAAACAAACAAACTCAATCAAAAAGACTTCAGGTCAGCCCTTCTCAACGAGTGTTCAGGAGAAAATTTGTCCCTAACACCCTAAAGCATTCATTGAATACAATACATCAGTTTCTCTTGTAGGCTTCTAAAACAGTACCAACTATGTACCATTCTTGAGTGAACTGAAGAAAGAAAATAGATATTCAATTAATTTTCTGTAGGGTTTCAATCTCTTGTAAAACTCGGGTTGAAAAAGCCCACTCTAGATGCTGACACCAGGCATAGAGGAGGGCCGCTTAGAAGGGGAGGGGAAGAGAAGGAGAAAGGTACAACACTGAAAGTCTCCATACTTAATGGACTCCTAGCCCCTTGTGTGGCTCTGCCCCCAGAATGGCATTGACCAAGTATATCTTCCTTTCTACCCAGGGCCCTGGAAGGAGATTGAAAGAGTCTTACCTGAACAAACCGAAGTGCCTCAGAAGAAAAGACCAATGCATAAGGTCTTTTGTGGGGACCCGAGAAAATGTCAGTACCCCACTTCATTTCTCTATGTGGCTCTCCTCCATCCATTCACACAGACCTTCCGTCATCTTCAGATTGCCTCACTTTTAATTAAACAGATCAACAGATAGTTGAAGAAACTACCTTAAAACTTGAAAATCAGAGAAGAAAGCACACAAACAGATGAAGAAATTGTCTTTGAGAACTAGAACTCAGGAGTAGAGAGGAGTGGAGCAAAGAAACCCACTTTTCATTTATAAGTCTTGTTGAATTGTTTAACTTTTGAATCTATATCCATGTATTTTTGTGATTATTATATGTACATTTTTAAAGAAAGAATGTTTCAGGAATAAACATTCAACTATACAGAATTCTGGGCAGTAATTTTTTTACATATTTGATATGCTTCTGTTATGCTTAAATTTTCACAGTAATTGTATGTTTTAAATTTTTTAAACAAAATGCAAATATTAAAAAAAAAATGAGTAATGCATTCAGGCATAGGCAAGGCTGCCTGAGCACACAGAATGGCAGGGCTGAGGGATAACCCTAGCTCCTTAGTTTCTTCCAGTTGTTGAAAGGGGCACTCAAGTAAGTGATTTTAAAATAACCCTTAAGTCTGAAGTAGCAGCATCAGTGAGGATCTAACAAGAACAGCCACAGCACAGACTTGCAGAGTTTGCAAAGCAGGTGTCACACTATTGCAAGCCACTAAGGGGTAAGACGCTAACGACTGGGTGGCAAAACTAAATATTAGCGATCTTTGCAATTCCTACTGATCTGAGCTCAGAAGTACATTGCTGCCCTCTCTCTTACTTTCCCATCCACAAGTATGGAAACTCCCCCTGCAAGGGAATTATAATAGGAGTAAAGTATTCCCTGAAGGGAGAATAGCAAAAACTTGAGACTAGTGCCTGCATCTTTGTAATCCTGGGGAAACTTGCCACTATCCCAGTAGGAATCAGGAGATATCCAAGAGATTAAAAAGGCAGAGGAAAAGCTGGAGATCTTCTAATGACAGAACCAGAGCCTTCTCCAGGGAAACTAGAATTTAGCTCCAAGACTGAGAAAACAAAGTTGATTAATGAGCATTGTACTACAGAATACCCCCTTGAAACTGATTTTGCCCCGCAAAGCAGCATCCCACCGTTTTGAGAATACTTGTTCAAATGACTTTGGCTTCTCTGGTGGAAAAAAGAAAACAAAAAAATAACATTTTTTCTCTAAGATGACTAAAGACATGAAATTTAAATTCCAGACTTGTACCCACTGTAGTCAGCAGAAAGCTCTGCCAATACAGACAGCTTATTTGGGAAATATCCACAGCAGCAAAGTCCTAGAGCAAATATGTGTAGATTTCTTGTCTTTGAAATTAGAGAGAAAGAAACTTGAGACATAGTGTGATGACCCATCATGGCACTCAATGTACACAAGTCAACCAACCATACCAAGGGTTCGAAAAACATCCGAAACCCCCTAGTGTTATGGGAGAAATTGTTTTCCATGCATGGGTTTTCTATTCAAATCTACTAAGGTGAAAAAAAAATGTGGCTCCTATAAGAAATTTTCACTAAAGCTGGTTACAAAACTCTGAGACCAGTCCCAAGAAGTCCCCCAATCTGAAAAATTCGACAAATATAACTGAACTTGTTGGTGATGGTGCAACCTGAGCTACCGGATGGCTGATACCAGAATCCATCCTGACCCAGCCATATCAGTTATCTATTGCCACGATAGTGCTACATAAATACAACCACAAAATATCAGTGGCTTATATTAATAAACATTTATTTTGCTCACAAGTTGACAGTACACCTGGTTGATCCCGATGCTCCAGGACTTAACTGATCTTGGCTGGATTCATTCATGAATCAGCAGTTACCTAGAAGTTCAGCTGGGGTCTGGTGGGTCTAGTACAACCTCAATATTCAGTTGGGATATTTCCTGTCTGATTCAGGTACTCAATCCAGCAGGCTAGCTCCGCCTTTTCTTGTGAAGGAGGCTGGAATCTGAGAGAATGAATGAGGGCTCTTGGGGCCCAGGCTCAAAATGGCCATATCTTATCTGCTGTATTTTATTGGCCAAAGCAAATTACAGGCCAGCCCACATTCCACAGAGGGGAAATAGACTCCACCTTTTTATAGGAAGCGCTAATATTTTGCATTACAAGCAGCATGTTTACAAAGAGGGATGATCGATGCAGACCTTTAGGGCAATCAGCCTTCCACACCAGCATCTTGATGGTCAGAGAATTAGTTCTGTGAGTAAACCAAATGAACTTGGTTAAAGACAATGTGGTATTCTGGAAGATTAAAAAGAATGATTCGTGAGAAAACCACAGAAATCTGAATGAAGCCTACAGTTTAGTTAATAGTAATATTAATTCATTTGTTTTGACAAATTCACCGGGGTTATATAAGATGTTAACATAAGGAGGAGCTGGGTGAAGGGTGTATGGAAAATCTGTACTCTCTTTGTAACTTTTCTGTGAAGCTAAAATTAATTCAGCATAAGACATTTATTTTTTAAAGAACATGATAAAAAGGAACTTGCAGTATAGGCCATTTGGGTAGCAGTGCCCTTGAGTGTGTGCACCACTGAGTCATGGAGAATCCTCCATCCTCTATTCAGAAACCCCTGCGGCCTGGGAAAATTTGGCAGCATGTGGGGCACTGAAAAGCTCAGCAGATGGCTTGGCCAGGGCCACCTCTCTGCAGACCTCCAAGACAACAGCAATGCTGAAGGCTAGGGGCTGTGCCAGCATCCTTTCTCAGTGTGACCAAAAGGGTGTTGACCCAGCTGGCTCTGGTGGTTACGGGAGATGCCACATGGCCACATGGCTGCAGTGCTTGGGAAATTCTCTTTTTTCCCTTTATGAAGGGAACGAAATCCAGACTTAGCCATGTCCATCTGACTTTCTGAGTGTGACAAATTGTGATCTTCACCATGTAGCAGCTCTGAGTCTGATGTGGAAACTAAATCAGACACATAAACACACAATTACAGTACAGTGTGACGGAGTCTGTATAGTGAACATATGTTTCTTGTCTGCTCCACTCTCTTCCTTCAGAAAAGCCCAACCTCCTTCCACCTTTGCCTCTAGGCTCCAGAGGTAGATAAGCATATGACATATGTCTCAGACCTGGCTGTTCAGAGTAACTCATCCCTCTGGCCACTGCAAGTGATCAGGGAGATTAGCCCCAAATTGAGTGCCAATCAGACCTTCTTCATCATTTTTGACATAAGATTTCTGGGAAAAGAAGGGTCTTTCTTTCTCTGGTACCAGAAAGAGTTATAAAAATAGAGACTTTCTGAAGCTACAGACCACCGGAGGGAAGAGCCAAGATATGGATAGAGAAAGTCTTCATAATGTAGTTTAAACCCCTAGATGCAGCCAAGCCTGATGCCAGAGATACCCCTTAGACTTTCGTATTTCCAGCCATAATCTAGCTTGAGCTGAGTTTCTCTCATTTGCACCCAAAACAATCCTGCCAAATGCAGAGATGGGTATCTGGAAGTGGGGTGCTGGAATTAACAGGCATTAAAATGAAAAGAAAGCCTGACAACAGGTGAGACCCTGGGCAGTCAACACTGGGATGTTAGTGGTGCCTGTTAAGTGGTAGCAAAGCAGCAGGGAAGGTTTTTCCTTGTTGTTCCTGGGACTCAACTAATTCATTTCCGTGTGTCTGCAGATATCTTTTGACAAAGTTAAAATGGGCTGACCGTATTTTGCAGCCTTTATTATGCTAGAAGCTTCAGACCAAGCTGTCCCTCTACAGCAGAAAGGGAAGGGCCTACGTAGCCTCACCAAAGAGATCATTTCTCCCTCCAGCAATCCTTGAGAAGACACAAAGTATGGGTTTTCTGTTTTGAAAGGAGATCAATTTCCTGCAGGAACAGCAGGAGCACTGGGGGAATCCCAATTTCCTAGGCCCTTACCAAAAACTTCTGGCTATGTACTCCCCACCTTAAAAGACAGGCTCATTTTAAAGAGACAGCCCCTCTCATTATGCCAGCCCATGGTTCTAAGTGCAGCGACCAAGAGGCAATAAGGTAAAGACATTATTCAGAGACAGAAACTCCAAAACCAGCTTGGATTTAAAGAACATGCCATGGTAGATCCCCAGTCTAATTGACTAGCCTGTTGAATTTCCGAATATCGAATAGTCTGGCCTCCCTCTGAGATTCTAAAGGTTATTTCTAGAGACTCGTCAAACCCTGCAGACAGGCTTGTTATAGATTGTTCAACCTCTAAAGCAATCTCCAGACCCCCAAACCTGCACCAAAAGAAAATGTGATACTGCTCCCCGGCAGCTCTTCCTGAACTTAGGTAAACTCAGGGGAAAGATTACCATGGCCTCGTTTTAGCCTGCCTCTGGCCCTAGCCCCAGTGCTGCATTCTCAGCAGTGAATCGGGCACTGCATTTTCATTCCCATCTGACTTGTGTGTCCAATTCACAATTGATCCACAATGTGCAAAAGAAGAAAAGTGAGTAATTAAGTTCTGCTCCAAACCCCAGCACTGAGGAGTTGGTATTTTATCCTGTAGGCCTTGAGGAAGAGTGAGGGCTTATCACCAGTTTTAAGGAGGTTTAATACAGATAAGACTTGCGGTGTGTTTTGTAAAGGCAATGGCGGCAACATGGTAGATTGGTAGGAAAAGGGTAGGACTGAAAATGAACCTAAAATTAGTAAGCAACAGCAATTTAAAAATAACTAATATAGGCTTGAATTCAGAGTTGCAATGACTATGGTATAGCATTAAGGGACACCAGAGAGTATGCAGAAAATGGAACAGCTTGCCAATATCAGAAACACAGCAAGAAGAACTCCTCCTGTAAGATAGCATGAAGATTAAACTTCATAGACTGTAAATGGATGCAAGTCCCTTGTTTTGTTTTTGTTGGAGGGAGGGAAGAAGCAGACACCTGGAATTCTATCTGAAACAGAAAGAAAGATTTTTAAGTATTAAATACTTGTTTATTTTTCACTTGAAAAGGATTTGTACTGAAAATTGTCAAGATCTATAGGTGCTCTTAAGGGATTTTGGCAACATATACACAAAAGAATGCCTTGGTTACCTACTGAAATGCAGCTCATGGGCCCTAAAACCTTAGCAGGTGTTTGAGAGCCTCTAGGTCCACTGCACAAGGTTTTTGGCTAGAAAATGAGGCTAATTACATTCTTTCTGAGTTCCCTTTCACCTGGATGACAGCATAGTATGAAGTGATTCTAAAGGACTTAAGAGACAATAGAAACAGATCAGAAAAGCTGAAATCAAAATATATTTTCATAATTTATAAAAGCTAGAAGAGATGATTACTTGCCCAACAGAGTTGGCCTCAGCCTTAGTCCTTCAACATCCC